TTCAGAGCTGGAAGGGACCCTATGGATCTTCCAACACCTCTCAAGGAGGCACAGTTGAGGATCAAAATCCAAACTGCTGTCTCCACAGCCAGATGCCTAAACCACTGATTCTAATGTACACAAAGAGCTCCTTCAAAACCAGAATTATCCCTTCAGTTCAATAGAATATTGATACATTAGCATCAGGCCTTGGAGAAATTTGGATTTATTGGAGACCGGGAAAATAGCAGGAAATGTCTGATCCGTTTATCTGGGAGTCAACTGGAATGCTTATAATAATGCATAAGAACTTAATTTTGCAGAGCAATCGAGCAATTATTTGTAGAGCTCAGATGGTCAGCGAATAATCTTGGGCAGATGTCCATTGAGAGACCTCCACTGCAGTCAGCTTGCAGCTAAAAATTACCTGCACTGAAGACCTGCAACCTTCGGTAGCTCTTCTAAAGGGCTCACTAATTTACAAAGATCTTACACATTTTGTTTTGAAGCCGTGTGTTGAACTCTTCCTTTCATGGATATTATGTCTAGTAGTTGTTGATGTATTTCTTTTGCATGTTTCCTTATGTTATGCCTTGTTGAGAAAGGTTTGGGTGTAATGCATATGGAGAAGTGGGATACAAGCAAATTGACTGTGGCATTTTATAACATGGCCTTGATTGAGAAACTGGCACATATCCACTTAATATACGTATTGTGTGCTGGTTGTAATGTAATTGTTATCGCTAGAGCTGTAGCCCCAAAGTGCTCTGCACCTTTGAAAACACTTCAACCTGATCTTGTCAATGACAGCATTTGTGTGCTTCTAATTCTCCGTGAAATCCCAAGGTCTGTGAATAGAGAAATGCAAACAGCAGGCCCAGGTCATAGACTGAAGGATGTAAGCTGGACAGGAAAGCTCCAGCAATAGTCTGAAAAACTAGGTTGTCTGTTTTACATTTAATCCTCCACCTCACTTTTTCCAGTGGCCACAACAAAGTCCCACTTGGCTTCCTACAGCAACCACTGGGATGAGTGCGGAAAGAGGCTATAAAGCAGCAACTGAAAGTCTTCAATTATCCCTTCTTAGAAAAGCAGCACAGGGAGCCTGATGTTCTGGACTCTGTGTCCCTTCTGCCTCTCCTCCCACACCTGTTCCCTGGATCTGCAGTTAGTGGTGCTGCAGCCCCAAGACTGATGGTTTCATCAACTATTATGCAGTAGGAAAGGCAAAGAAGATTCCTTTCTAGGGTAAAGGGCATATTGTCCTTCACCTTCCTTTGCTCTCCTTTTGCTCCACATCTAATGGTGATGTTTCAATGCCAGATTTAGCATGAGTCCAGGGAGCTGTTACTTCATCTTGTGAAGAAGCAACTTCAGCCTGTTCAACTAAAAGCGAAGGTCAGTTTTATCAAATGTTTTCTCCCTGCTACTCAGCCTTTAAGGTGTGCACTTCCTCCTCAAACACATTTCATTTGTAATGTGTGGAGTACTGGGCTGCTGGGACATTGGCCAGTAACATATCCATTGCACCTTGGGTACAGATTACCTGTGACACAAGTAACATTAACAAAAGTTTCTGTCAAATATATTCATATTAAAAATCAGAAAAAGGCCACGTGCCCCCAAAACAGTACAAATACAGGAACAGGTGATGCCTTTATTGGAAAACAAAAACAAAAATATAAACAAACAAAAAACAGTGAGCTTTTAGTGATAATTCATCTTTCTCAGGCTGTGCACCAAGTTCTCATGGGTTGCTCCAAAATTATATGTTTTTATTAAAGTCCCAAAGTCCCATGGCCACTATTGAGGCAATGTGTAGCTTCTTAGATGGAAACAGTTGTAGTCTACAGTCTCAAAGAGTTTAACTAAACTTTTATTCACAACTCTGATGGAGGTTTGCCATCCTTCTAGTTAACTTGTTTTCCTTAGCTAAATGGAAACTCTTTGAGTTTCAAAAGAAGGTGGAAGGGTGAAAGGAAGGGGGGTTAGAATGCTTGGCCAACTTTTGTTTAGAGAGATGGGTGATAAATTCCAAATTATTGGCTGCAGAGGGGACTAAATCTACACCCTCCCCAGGCCTTTTGCATACTGCAGCTATTTCCATCTAACAAGTCACGCTTGGCCCCCCAACAGTGACCGTGGGACTTTGGGCCTTTAATTAAAGAGTATAATTTTTTGGCAACCCTTAAAAACTTGGTGCACAGCCTGAGGAAGATGAATTATCATCAAAAGCTCACTGTTTGTTTTTTGTTATTTTTTTTACTGGTCCAGTAAAGGTATTACCTGTTCCTGCATCTGTAGTCATATTAAAGGCATGTAAGACAAATCCCATTCTATGTTGCTGAGCGGTTTAATGTCAGAGGTATTGAATGGGCCAAAAATATCACATCTCACGATTTGTAAATAACTCCTGCAAAGGACTGTAGGATTTCAAGGATCTTTTCTTTTCATCAATAACATTATTGGTCTGTCACTCAAAACAGGGCCTCAGAATGAAGGAAAGGAAGTTCATTTTTCCCAGTATTTTTTTTACTGTACATTTTGTAGCAAAAGAGGGTGGGGGTGAGGAGGAAAATATTTTGACCACAAGGATGTCTTTCTAAAACTTCAAATAGGAAACATGACAAATAACAAGATCAAATACACAGGCATGTCACAATATATCTCTTGAGCTCTTTCTTTTAAAAAAAATAATACATAGATTATCTTTCTCTCTGTGTGTGTTTCTTCTGCGCATTACAATCTTTTTCTGCACACTGCTCTGAAATAATAAATAAGGTGCAACGATGGAATAAGGTTCTTGGTAGACACATCCTTGGGAGAAAGGAAATATAAGAAATACAGAAAATGAGTCAGAATTAAAGGCAGTTGCTCTCACTGCTATAAATGCAGAAAATTCACAGTTGTCATGATGTTGTGGCATGGAGTATGTTCATCAACAGCAATCCTATCTCTGGGGCAAATGTTCCAAAAATGCCTTTTTGTGATAAGTTTGCAAGCCAAGAATGATTATCAGAATCCTTTGGCCATTTTGAGTAAGATATCTTCTCTAAGATATCTGGGCAGGAAGAGATACCAAGCTCTTGAACCTGGGACACCATTTATTCTGCAATACATCTTGTTTGCCATAGCTCAGGAGAAACACTCACATAATGAAACATTCAATTGCATGACATGCCTACTGACCTCAAATTTCATGCCCTTATTTTGACTGACAGGATTATATGCCATTTTGTAGCAACGGGCATGAAGACCTTGTTTTTGTTTCTTATTTTATCAGTGATGCATGAGTCTAAATATTTCTTCCTGAGATTAACGAAAAAAGCAATGACGTGCCCTTGGCCAGAAGCAATTTCGGAAGAGGTCACTAGACCAGCCTCTTGCCTCATTCCCTATCTTTAGTTTATGAAAATGAGGTTGCTCTCTTCCACCCCATTAGCTCTCTGATACTATTTACCAATCACTAGAACTCTGCCTCACACACTGGCAAACAAGGGATCATGAATAAAATAAGTGAGGTGTGCATTTAAAATATGAATCTCACATTCTTTTGTTTTACTCAAAAAATAGAGGGGGGGGAAGAGCACGTGGAGGAGGAGAAGCACTGTGGAGTTCACCGGGTATTTGGCCTTTTTTAATGTCACAATGCTGCCACATGTGTTTCTTGGACTCGGGGAAAGGCTGCAGAACAAGGGAAGAAAAGGTAAACATGAAAGAAAATCCAACTCAGAGACCCTTTTTATTCTTGGGAAAGAAAACAAAACATCCTTAACCAAACAGGTAAAGCACCACATGGTGTGTGATGAGATGTTTTGGATACACATGCTCCCTTTCTCCAGATGTTATCTTTATTCAGTGACAGCTGCCATTGCCTTTCTGTTGGCATTATAACCATGGGAGTGGTCTTCTCAGACCTAGAGAAAATGGAGAGGGAGGGCATTCCTCTTTAAATATGCATCACTTAACCTGTGTTGACTCCTCATTTAATCTTGTTCAACAGTTCACCAGAAGACTGGGAAACCACTCAATGCTATCGGTGATTTCCTTTAGACGTCCACATGTACAGAACAAATGTATCGGAGGCATTTCATCAGCTCCTCACAGGCACACACACACACACCCCTACCCACATTTGGTAACCCCTCTTATCTCACTTTTTAAAAATCTTAATATTTACTAACCAATATACGGCTTAGTTGTGTGTGTTTTTCTGTGTCTTTGTGTCCTCCCATTGTTGTTTATGGCCTTTTTTTTTAAACAATCATGGACCTTTTTTTTAATGTTTGAGGGACTACAAATGCAATGGAGCACAACTCTTATTTACACTGTGCTTTCCATGACCCACTCTGAGCTTCCATAAGTCCCCTTTGCCCCTGTCAGGTCACTGTCATCGTACTGCAAAAGCATGCCATTCACTGACAGGCTTCGTTTTGTCCAAATGTTTGTGATCTTTTTGGGGTAGTTGCAGCACTGAGAGGTGGAAAAGTCTCCCATGTCAAAAGAATGGCTACGTTTAGTTTTACCCTCCAGTGGTAACATGAGGAGGCTACGGAATTTGGATTCTTGCTGGCCCAATAGTGGTTCCTTGTCTGAGTGACGGGCCACTGTTGAAGTTCTGGAGTCTACTATGTCCTCTTTTTTCTGACACTTCAGTTCCAGAGAGGCAAAAGCTCCCATGAGCCGGTCAATGTTGTTGTGCTTTGACCTTGAAGGGGGCCTCCACTTACTGGACAATGTGCCCTGCTCACTTTGGAGGCTGTAGCCATCACAGTCGCGACTGTTCACAGAGCTAGAAGAAGACGAGATGCTGCTGTGCGCAGACTCACAGTTAAACTGCATGAGCTCATTCCTTACCACCACTTTGGGGTTGACTTGTGGCAGGACGCCATTCTGGACGGGTTGCGATCCATTAGTTTGCGAATAGACGTTGCTAACACTGGCCATTTTCCCTGGTGCGTTGTTGCAAACCTTGTACCGGACCATAAGTATGACGATGAGCACTGTGGAGTTCACCGGGTATTTGGCCTTTTTTAATGTCACAATGCTGCCACATGTGTTTCTTGGACTCGGGGAAAGGCTGCAGAACAAGGGAAGAAAAGGTAAACATGAAAGAAAATCCAACTCAGAGACCCTTTTTATTCTTGGGAAAGAAAAAAAACATCCTTAACCAAACAGGTAAAGCACCACATGGTGTGTGATGAGATGTTTTGGATACACATGCTCCCTTTCTCCAGATGCTATCTTTATTCAGTGACAGCTGCCATTGCCTTTCTGTTGGCATTATAACCATGGGAGTGGTCTTCTCAGACCTAGAGAAAATGGAGAGGGAGGGCATTCCTCTTTAAATATGCATCACTTAACCTGTGTTGACTCCTCATTTAATCTTGTTCAACAGTTCACCAGAAGACTGGGAAACCACTCAATGCTATCGGTGATTTCCTTTAGACGTCCACATGTACAGAACAAATGTATCGGAGGCATTTCATCAGCTCCTCACAGGCACACACACACACACCCCTACCCACATTTGGTAACCCCTCTTATCTCACTTTTTAAAAATCTTAATATTTACTAACCAATATACGGCTTAGTTGTGTGTGTTTTTCTGTGTCTTTGTGTCCTCCCATTGTTGTTTATGGCCTTTTTTTTTAAACAATCATGGACCTTTTTTTTAATGTTTGAGGGACTACAAATGCAATGGAGCACAACTCTTATTTACACTGTGCTTTCCATGACCCACTCTGAGCTTCCATAAGTCCCCTTTGCCCCTGTCAGGTCACTGTCATCGTACTGCAAAAGCATGCCATTCACTGACAGGCTTCGTTTTGTCCAAATGTTTGTGATCTTTTTGGGGTAGTTGCAGCACTGAGAGGTGGAAAAGTCTCCCATGTCAAAAGAATGGCTACGTTTAGTTTTACCCTCCAGTGGTAACATGAGGAGGCTACGGAATTTGGATTCTTGCTGGCCCAATAGTGGTTCCTTGTCTGAGTGACGGGCCACTGTTGAAGTTCTGGAGTCTACTATGTCCTCTTTTTTCTGACACTTCAGTTCCAGAGAGGCAAAAGCTCCCATGAGCCGGTCAATGTTGTTGTGCTTTGACCTTGAAGGGGGCCTCCACTTACTGGACAATGTGCCCTGCTCACTTTGGAGGCTGTAGCCATCACAGTCACGACTGTTCACAGAGCTAGAAGAAGACGAGATGCTGCTGTGCGCAGACTCACAGTTAAACTGCATGAGCTCATTCCTTACCACCACTTTGGGGTTGACTTGTGGCAGGACGCCATTCTGGACGGGTTGCGATCCATTAGTTTGCGAATAGACGTTGCTAACACTGGCCATTTTCCCTGGTGCGTTGTTGCAAACCTTGTACCGGACCATAAGTATGACGATGAACACCAACAGAGTTGCCACAATAATGCCTCCGATAATGAGGATCATTGTCCCACCCAGGAACTGGCTGTGCATGGAGTGGCACTGGGGATAGTCCTCTTTGGTGTAGAACTGGGCACAGCCCACAATGTTGGTAGCAGTCAGCGTTGTAGCAGTATCATCCCACATGGCCAGAACACACAGATCGTAGCCTGTTCCAGAAACCAGGTTGTTCACCACAAATGCTTTATTCGTCGCAGGAATCATCCTTTAGGGAAAAAGAAAACAGTAAAATCAGATGGAAACATATAATTTGTGTCAGCGGGAAAGTAGCACATAGTAGCATCAGAAAGGGATGGTAAATCTAGCCTTCAGATTTTTGAATCCTCAGATTCTTTCCATCCAAAAAACAAAGATGGCAGCACTATCACAATTGAATACACAATGATTCAAATTCCTAATTTGAACAGTTAGCATAAGCAAATATGTTGGTAAATTATAATCTAAAACAATATGGAATGGAATTCTCATTCATCCCATGTGACGGATATAATTATTCAAAAAAAGAGTCCCCTGGACTGCAAGGAGAATAAACTGATCCATTCTAAAAGAAATGCTCAGTGCTCCCAGGAAGGACAGATCCTGAAGCTGAGGCCCCAATACTTTGGCCATCTCATGAGAAGAGAAGACTCCCTGGAAAAGCCCCTGATGTTGGGAAAGTGTGAAGGCAGGAAGAGAAGCAGATGATAGAGGATGAGCTGGTTGGACAGTGTCATCAAAGCAGCCAACATGAATTTGACCCAACTCTGGGAGGCAGTGGAAGATAGGAGGGCCTGGCGTGCTCTGGTCCATAGGGTCACAAAGAGTCAGACACGACTAAACGACTAAACAACAACAAATCATTCAATAATACAGTGGTGCCTCGCTAGACAATTACCCCGCATGACAGTTTTTCGCTAGACATTGACTTTTTGCAATCGCTATAGCGATTCGCAAAACAGTGATTCCTATGGGGGAATTTTGCTGGACAATGTTTGGTCCCTGCTTCGCAAACCAATTTTCACTAGACGGCGATTTTGACAGCTCCCTCCGTGCTCACAAAATGGGTGTTTTGGGGACCTAAACTTTGCAAGACAGCTATTTAAACAGCTGATCGGTGGTTCGCAAAGCAGCTTTCCTATGGCCAATCTTCGCTAGACAACGACGATTCTTCCCCATTGGAATGCATTAAACAGGTTTCAATGCATTCCAATGGGGAAATGCTTTTCACTAGACGATGATTTTGCTAAACAGCGATTGCAGTGGAATGAATTATCATCGTCTAGCGAGGCACCACTGTATTTCTAAGAACCATGAATGTGCAACAGTGCAATCCTAACTCAAGTGTGCATCAGCTATAGTAGTTTGGATAGCAGAAGCCTCTTGTGCCACCAATACTGCCTTTACAGTATGCCCAGCAAAAGGCCTTTTGTCTGGCTGATCTGTGCAATCTAATTTGAACCGTGATCGGGTCCAGTTGTATAAATCTGCTGGCACAACTACTGTGCTGGCTAAGAGTAGTTAGCCAAAATAGGGTGGAGAAGGGATGGAGCATGGAGAAACTGGGTTATACCAGATACTAACCTCGTCTAGCCAAGAGACACGGCCAACAGGCCAACACAAACTTTAACCAAGATGACTAGAATCCTAAATAATGTCCAGTATCATTCCTAGAGTAGAAGGAACTTGAATTCACAATATTTCAATAAGATACAGCTCTAATTATCTAAGACGATTAAGGACCAACAGAACTAATACAACAGCTGCTGAAGCTTTTCTGAATCTCGTTTAACCACTTAACTCTCAATATATGCCTTTATTTTCACTAGTATTCTTGCTATATCTTTTTTACTTCTACTTCCAGCACAGTGACACTGTAGAATGAGCATTATCCAAAGCAAGAACAGAGAACCTCCAGCCTCTTGTCCAAATGCAGCCACCAGGGACTCTCCATTTAGCACACAAGCTACTGTTATCTAATGGCTAAAGATAGGTTATATAAAGCAGTATAAATATAGGTTATATAAAGAGTTGTGCAGCCTAGCAAGCTGTTGAATGGGACTGAGTTTTGCTATGCATGCATGAAAGCTGTTGCACTGGATCTTACCCTGTCCCAGCCCTTGAAGAGGTCACAGGCACACTTAAATAAAGCAAAAAGTTCATTGATGGGATTCAATCAACACATGGCCAAGCAGCAAGACTGCTGCTCTGTATTGACTGAGCAGCAGGAACTCAGTAGTGACTGGTTACTTCAGTTCAAAGATCTAACTGCATTACCAAGTTATCATTCTGCCAGCTTCCACTCCCTAATCATTCAACTTGCTTGCTCTCTCATGATCTTGGTTATTCAGCTGAAAGGATAAAGTTGCAGATGAAAATCCTGTCAAACCAGAGATTGGCTTATGGTTAACTTCTCCGGAAATGAATCAAAAGAGACAAAAAGAAAGATCTTTTCCTCTGCCTGTCCATTGAGGAGCAGAGAAAGTGTTCTCTTTGTTGATATCCTGAAGTGGCTCACTTATTAAGCCACTCCACAATATCAGAAATTAAAAACTAGAAGGCTGTCTTTTCATTCATTTCCAGATGTCAAACACATTGGAAATAAAACAAAGCAAAGCTATTCTACCCTTCAGATATGTATAGCTAGGAAAGCTCTGGGAATGATTTGGTTCACTCCAGCAATTACATCATATGATCACTGGAAAAAGAAATAAACTAACTTGTCTCCACAGTGGACCAAACAAAAGGTTAAATGTCCACCTAATTGCACCTTTAAATAACTAACTGATGCAAGATGAGAGAAAATCCTCCATAGGGAGAACTGAGAGGAATGTGTAGGGTCACCTATGCCTTTATATAGATGTGCCCATTGGATGTGGAAGTTCCATAGCTGAATGGACAAGGGCTTTTGTCTTGGCCTCAAAAGCATTCCCTGATGCAATTGCCATGTACGGCTTTAGCATCCAGCTATGACAGTAAGCGATACTATCTATGTCCAGAGGGGAAAAGGTTATTTGAGTATTAGTAAAGTAATGCTTTATGCATATTAAGGTTAGTTTATAATGCTGGGTTAAGAATCTCTTCTTCCAGACTTATCCCCCTTTTCTCCTACATTTGAATGCAACATTAGAAACATTCCCAGAAGGTATTGAGAGGTTGAAATAATGTTGGAGGGCACTAACCATGACCTATGTTTTAAAATATTAAAGGAGGGCACCTCAGACGTTCTCCTGTTCTCAGACATTTGCCTAGAAAACATCATTTATAATTAAGACATTGATATTGGGTACATTTTTGCAATAGAATAAATGTGGGTATTTTTCATGAGTAAGCAAGGAAGGTTATTTATTTATTTATTTATTTATTTATTTATT